GGTTCAAGCTCATCACTTCTACCACCCTCATGCAAACAAAATTAATTTTAAAAAGTGAGAGAGGAGCTAAACAGTTAAATTCAAAATCTGCACTTATTATCAGTGCAAATAATTATCCTTCAATCTAAAATGAGGAAGAAAACAGAAAAGATCTGCCCAACAATATTTAATGAGGCAAAACCTCTGTTGAAGTTTGTGATATACTTGCAAAAATCACCAGGATGTTAGCAGAGAATTGAGCTGGTTTCAACATGGCTAAGTGTGACTTCTTGCCAGGGAGAGAAATCTCTAAAGCAAATGGAAGATGCTTTATCAGAAATGAAAACTGCCTAGCAGGAAGAATGAGCTCTGCTCTATTAATGTCAAAGGGAGTATTAATAGACCCTGCTTATATGTTGATTTGAGATGTCCAATTTTTAAATATTAACTCCAACAACTGCAGTTATTTGCTGATTTTGTTTTCCACTTATATCTATGAACAAAGCAACTCTACCTTTCACTACAAGAATAATATATGTATTACTTTTTATTCATATCCATAAGACTTTGAATGTTCTCTTATTCCTGCTTCACTGGTATATGCTGTACAGTTTAAGTAGTTTTCAGGCACTGCCCCTCATTCTTTAGGGAAATGGAAGCATTATCATTGCAAGGAGTTTGAGTAATTCTGACTGACAACTTAACCAAAGGAATGTAAAGACAAATTATACGGCAGGTGGAAGACTGATGAAAGTGATTAAGTGAAACTCTTGTAGATTTAATGTAATGGGCAAGATAACAAAGACCCATTTCTTTATAAGATTTGAGGATGAAGATCTAGGTGAACTTCCATGGTCAATCCAATTCCAGATTAAATTCATGAATTTTAAAATGTTCTCTCCTTTGATTCGTTATAAGCAAAGATACAAGCTGTGATGGTGGCAAATATAATGATGCTATCGATTATTTTAATTAGAAATTCTCCATATTTATCCAATGAAAGTTAATTATTAATAATAATTACAGAAAAAGCTATATTAGATACTCAACAGAGTTATTAGTATTTGCACATGTTGCATTGTGAAATCAGTCATTCTGCAAAGTAACTAACCATTTTAGTGTTTTCACAAGATGACTGAAAATTCTATGTTGGTATTAAGTGCAATATTTAACTTTTGTTTATTTAGATTATTGACTGAACATGAAAAATCTATTTTACTGTTACTTATAAGATCATGCAGTAGTTATTCTTAATACTGCAGAGTCATAAATATCATTCACTTGTGAAAATATTTCACAAATTGCTGGTACGGATATTTTCTATTTTTGTGTGTCTAAATCAGTCATCAGTACAGTCCCATTTTAAAACAAGTATTTCTGGCAGATAGGATAAATTGTGCTCTTGGGGTGCTTATCCCTTTTGTTTGAGTATAGAGGGATCCTAAATCCTCGCGTAGATCACATATCAATTTTCAAAATGACAGAAATTGCTATTGGTTTCACAAACTATCCGCACTAGAAGACTCTCAGGGTGAGGGGCAGGAAACTAGCCAACAAACATGTCTCAAACTACTCTAATTACTCATTGTTTTAACTTCTGCTCATAGCGGTGTTCACAGACTATTGCGACTCACGGCTTCTGTTTGTTGCAAGGTGAAGCGCATCAAACTGGTGCTCAGTATCCAAGAAGAGTGTGGACACAGGTAATTCTGATGTCCTAGGACCACTAAAAAACTTGTGATGCAGGTCCATGGACTGATGCTGGAACTTCTGGAAGACTAGAACAAACTCTTATGGGCCAAACCAATTTCGGCTCCTAAGACTGATGCCTTCTCCCTGCCCCAGCCTTTCCGCACACACAGTCTCTGTAGGGTGGTCTATGGTGCAGAGCATCAAGACTACTATAACCAGGAATCCCCTCTCTATTTGGTGTGGTGGCAAGAGCGGAGAGGAGAGCAGAGGAGAGCAGAGGAGAGGAGAGGAGAGCAGAGGAGAGGAGAGGAGGAGAGGCGAGGCGAGGCGAGGCGAGGCGAGGCGAGGAGAGAACACATGATACATAAACAACATGATGAATACACAATGGCTGGAAACTTTTTATAGAAAAATATGGAAGACCTGCAAGAACTAGAAACATTGTACTTCCACTTTTATGGACTCCTGAACTCTGGAAACTGAAAATTAGATGTACAGAAGCACATAAAACAAAAATTCTACCTGACAAAACTGAACTTTTTACCAACAAGTCCAAAAGTCCTACCATCCATAGGAATATCAAATTTTAAATTACAGTTCCCCAGGGCTTAATTTGGCCTTCAGTGACTTCACTTCAGATTTAACAACATGGAATAAGATTTGGAATGAAGTTTAAGAGGAGGCACATAAGAAGTAAGGTAAAGTACAATATTTCAATATCACTTACAAACTAGGTGATTTAAGACTTTAAATCAAATTATGAGCATTTCAGGACCTCAATAAACTAAAAAATTTCAGAGCTACACTCTGACGTTCTTATCTCCAGTGAATGCTGTTGTTTTCCAACATTAATTCCAAAGAAATTTGCACATAATTATGTTTACATTTATGAATATCAGTCCTTCTAGTGACTTAATAATTAAGCTTATGCTAAAGTGTATCAGTTAGAAAGAGATTTTATTCCAATCAGAAAAGACACAAAGGACTTTTATAAGTTAATATGTAAATAAGCTTGGGATATGTATCAACAATTTGCCCCCTCTGCTGATCATTCTTATATATTCAATGAAGAGTGCTTCACTCATTTTTCAGCACATATTGTCCTTCAGTGTATGACTCTTGGTATTATAATCTATAGTAACACTAATGGTAATTAATAATATAAAGTAACTCTTTGCTGAGGTATTGAACATCCTAAATAATTACAAAAAATAATTACAATATAACAAAAACATCATAAAAATCAAATTTACTGTTACGTCTGTTCACTGAAAACTATGTAGCAGTAGACGATATTATATTCTGTAGGAGCAACAAAAAACACTAATACTTTTCAAACTTTTTTCAGATGACGATGTCAAAGTGCTTCATGAACAATGAATTAAGTTTTACAGCATGTTTCAAAAGTATGTTTGGCACAGTCAAAAGAATCCATCCGTTTGTTCTTTTTTTGTCAGGTCCACTAGCACTTGATTTTGGTTTGAATTATTCCTGGTATTGTCTGCCATTGCAAGCAAGTGCCTAGCTCTTCAGCTTTCTGACACTGAGCAAAGTACTGGCCCACTTTTTCTCCTATTTGTTTCGTCTACTATATCTGAGGAAGAGATTTTGGCTAATGAGCAATCAGTACTATACATTGCTGGCAGTTCCCTAGAGAAACACTCACAAAGTACACTTCAGACTTCTGCTTCATAGGTTTTGTTTTTTATTTTTTTTTGTTTTTCAGGGCTTTTTTGCTATAACAGACTGGAATATATTGATTTAGTTACAGAAGACATTTATAGTAGAGACAATCGAATATATATATTCTAAGGAAATTTTCATTGTTTTCTGCCCAAATTGAAATTTCAATCAGAAATATCAATTTGGAAAAATTACTTCAGAATTTCAGCAGTCCTCAGTTTATTCTCCTTTCACCATCACATCTTTGAACTAAGAATGGAGGTAAATTATAGGAATCTAGGTCTATGTGCATCACAAGAAACATATTCTAAGCTGCAACAACTAAACAATTCATAGTAGTTTTCACTTATTGTGTTTCCTTATCAAAAACATTCACTTTCAAATTTTTTTTCCTCCAAGGTAGAGAGAAACATTTCTTAATAAATTCTATAGAATTGACAGTCTTCATGGAAATTGCCAATCTATTAATATTTTTGTCAAAAATAATTTTCAGTTGAAAAATTGGTTTGATTTAAACAGCCTACTCAAAAATTTACAAAGAATATCTGATGCTTTTCCTGCAGAAGTACATGTAAATAATTGACTAGATACCAGGAGATTGTATTAAAATTTGTGTAGCACGCATCTTGGTCTTTGGAGAACCAATCACCCTTCTGGTCTGATACTGAAAATCGCTTTCCTGGGTGCTGTTTTGCTTTAAGCTCTTTATAGTTCTATGGCTTGAGTTTCAGTGTCACTGAAAACCCACAATTTGAAAATGGATGGGAAAAAAGGAGCCATTCCCAACACACTCGATTTTATTTGTTCCTCTCTGAGGACAAAGTGGAATTAAGAAAAGTAATGCATTTGTTTCATAACAATTTTGCTTTTACTTCATTCTGCTGATGCTAAAAGAATGCTTGTGTAACATCCTAGAAAAAACAGTTTTAAGGTTTTGAAGCACCATTCATCTAAGGAATTTCAATTGCTTTAAAAATGTCTGTTACAAGAAGGATGCCAGCGTAAAAAATCTCATAAATGTTAACTTTGTGATTACTGCCATAGGTTATAAGCGAATTATAAGGAATCAGCATCCTGCAAGCTAAATTTTTTATTTGAAAGGTAAATGATGGATTGCTCAAAACAGTGTTTGACAATCGACTTTCACCATGCCTTTTTCTAAGTACTGCAACTGCTATGATTCAGAAGCTGAAAAAAGTCGAACAAAGTAAAATAATAAAAAATACATATTTTCCAAACATAAAAGATAAATGTTTTGTCAAAAGGTGAAAATGAGACTATGGGATTCATGATGCTTAGAGAAGTCACAAATACACTGTCAAAGTACTTGACAACGGGAGATCTTCCCTCAACAAAAACAAGTAGTTGCCAGCATGCGCGGTACCTCAACAGCCAGCAGCTTGGTCCCACATCAGGCTCATGTATCATGCACCTTTTCGTTCCCTCTTGGTCTCTCAAAATAATATTCTAGTTTTACACCTTCACCCTCACCTTCCTGCTACCTATACTTTCAGCGTATAAAGGCCACTCCCTACCCTTTGCAACCTCACCAAGTATCCTCATTCTCAGCAGCTCAAGCAGTAACTACCAAACCATTGCAACTGCCTCTGCCAAGGAGCCTTCCCACACTGCGTTCAGACACTTACCAGGATTCACTGTGAGAAGAGCTTCACCTCACATTTTGGAAAAGCGCAGTAGCTTTTGCACCACTAGTTCACACAGCTAAAGGCATGTACATTTAGAGAACTTCTTTCCTAAGAAAGTAAAAATATAAAACATTTCCACCTACTCTTTAGAGGTATCGGTCTTAATTTAGTTTTAGCAGGGACAAGATATTAATGGCTTCAAACATTTTATAGCTCAACAGTCAGGCTAGCTCAGATGGGGCAATGGACACCATTGCTGCCATAGTCTTCCTCTCTTCCCCCATCTCAACTCTGTCTTGCTTAGCTTCAAACACCTCACTGAAAAATGTGAATTATGAGGCTTTTTCAGGACATGTCTCTCTTCCTTCACAAAAATAGATGTCCAAGGATCTGAGAGTTACATACAGTAGTAAGAGACAAAAGGTTTCTTCGTATGTTCTTTCGGAAGCTGTAAAATTGGTAGAAGTTTATTTGCTTAATGCATGCTAAATTTAAAAAATATATTGTTTTAAGTGGAAATGCACCACTCATATTCCAATCTCTGCTTCTTTGGTTTGAAAAAATTTCATGAACGCTCAAAGAAAATGAGAGGGAGCTAAATCTATATTGCCTTTCTGTTGACTTGTCTTTATAGCCTCGTGTTTAAGTTTACATTTAAATTTTATGCCTTTAAATTGATTTACTCCAAAGTTTGCTTTGTTCAGTTCTTTACTCGCCACTGAACTGAAAACTGTAAACTGTAGTTGGTAAACTACATATTTCGCAAATTAAAAATAAAATAAATTGAATTTTCCTTCATCTGGAGCTGTGCCACTCATGCACACTCTAGCTATGGTACACTTCCACAGTAAACTTTCATATACTTATCTCCATTAAGTCTGGCAAAGCAAGCACAACACTCAGTGGACACCCAGAAGCTCAACAGCCTGGAGGCCACAAGTCAACAACGAGGGCAAGCAAGCACGAACTAGAAGGGAGAGATTAGGGGAATAGGAGACTTTATTGTAGTTAATCTAATCCTAAAAAGATATATATACGAAGAGGAGAGTAGCTGAGGTCCTCCATCCCTCCCTAAAAGTGTCCTGACTCTCTCTGGAGCCACCATGGCTGTAACTCCCGTCTTTTAACCCCTCATGTTGAGCCCAAGTATGACTGGGACAATTCATCCTCATCACAACTGCTTTACACAGAAAGATGGATTCTCCCTCCCCACCCAGGAGGTCTGACTTTCAAAGCCTGCTGTAGCGGAAAGCACTACCTCCTTTCATGGCATTTGACATATAAATGACTGAAGATTCTCCAAGGCAGTTTTGGTTTCTGCCCTGCTACATATAACTAATACTCAACCCAATCTGTTTCACAATCTTGTCAGTATATATGAAGATCCACTGAGTGACCGTTCTCATAACTTTTCTTATAGATTCAGTGCAATGCTTACCCACGATTCTGCTAGGGCACATCTTACTTTCTGTGTAAAATCATGCCTGGTAAGCAGAAATTTGACTGTCAATTACGGTCAAGTTTTCTACGGATTGTTCATTAATGACAATAAAGGACAAATTTTAACCCTGATACAAGGATTGCTACCTTAAAGATACAAAGATATATTCAGAGCTGTACACAAAACAGAATATAATTGATTGCAACTGGTATAAGACTAAAAACATGGAGATGAAATAAGAAATCAATTGCAGTGCTACAGTTCTTATAGTGCATGATACCTGTACAAAGAGAGAGATTTTCATCTAGCATTTCACATAGTTTAATTTTTTGTTTGTTTACGACAGGCTATCATAAAATTGAATGTGTCAAATTTTAAAATTAAACAATAGCTTCCTATGACAACAGGGAAAATTTTGATTTTCATTTTGACCTATTTTGCTATTAAGGTACCCAAATATTACTAAAATAAACAAAGTAATCACTTCAATGCAATGTTCAGTTGACCGTGCACATTGCCAGTGTTTATCACATTAACACATATTCCAGCAACCAATTACATTTTTAAAAGCAAATTTTGGTAATGATTTAAAAATTTCCAATCCTATATTGAATAGAAATTGTTTTTTTAAAATTAGTCTGATCACTGAATGTTTGCTACTACAGAATCAGAGCTTCTGTGTACATATACAAGCTCTCAGTAGCTTTATAAGGTAGCTAAAAATAAATTCACACAATTGAGAACAAAAAATTCCATTACACTGATTGCCACAGACAGAAGATTTGTTCTTCTTGGCACTTTAGGACTCAGCTGGTTAGGTGGCCCTTGCAAAGCAGCTACCTTACTACAGTTTTGGAACAAGCAATAGCTTGAAGAGCAAAGTGATGGCAAATTCCCTTGCTGGAACCAGTAGGCTAAAACTGCATTATGCTGCTGTTCATGATGAAACTCTGAACAAAGAAGCATACCAAATAACTATGCAATAGTTGATATATCTGATATGTTGCTGATATGTCTGTATCAGAATATAATGTGTTTCTGTGCCAATATATACACTCACAACATATTCCTTTTTCTTACTAAGACCTGTCATAGTTCTGTACAGAAAGTATCTTCTATCTTACATTGAGAGAGATCTATAAACTTCTCTAACTGTTAATACATATGCTAACATATGCACAGAGTCATATAGATCATTAAATTTAAAGAAAAAAATACAAAATGGAAGGTGAACATCAGTTTAAAAAGATAAAAAATTACAAGGCAGAAGAGACTCAACTAAAACAAAAGTGTCAATAAACCTGAAGTTATAAAAGTAGACTGATAATTTAAAATATTGTTCAAATTTGACTAGCAAAATTATGATGAATTACAAGTGTCCAACTAAAATACATTTCATTTTTTAAATGAACCTTCGGAATTATAAGCCACACCATATAGAAGTTTCCCTTCCATAATTTTATGCTTGTGGGGTTTTAGCTAGTATAAAGACTTGGACCACTTTAATTCTTTTAAAGATTTACAGCTGAACGTTAAGGTTATGAGGTTTCTTCAATGTTCATAGTAGTGTGCTATTTTTGAATAACTGAATTATCTTTAAAATATATTCATGTCTATTTTCAGTTAATTCAGTTCTAGCATCACTGAAATTTAAGACATTCCCAGAGTAACACCTAATCTACGAGAAGGTTTTTTAATTATGTATTATCAACTTTGTCTTATGCAGATATATTTTGGCACAATAGTTCTCACATTAAAAACAGCATGTCTTCCGACAAGTTTCAGCAAAATAAACAATTCAAATACGTATCCATAATTTCAAATACATATCCAAACTTTTTTTCAATTCCATTTTCTACTCTGTGTAAAATTTTGATAGCTGAATAAAAAATCTGCAACATAGCCCTAAGTTTGATGTGGAATTTGGCAATGAATATTAAATTTCTGGAACTCTTACCCACCCAAAGACTATCCACTGACTAGATGTCAAAGCAAGCTGTCCAAGAATGCACTAATCTGCACCGTGCAATACTATAAGATCTCAGGCAAGCGTAAAAACATCCTGCTCTCTGAACATGTTCTATTTATTTCACTATTTTTATTTCTATTTATTTTTATGCCACTATTTTTTCAGATATCTGCTGGCACAAATCCATATTTTATACAGATATTCATGCGTTTTTGCCTTATAAAAAGTGCCACATATTCATCTCAGTAGATTGCAAGGCCAAATTCCTCATCAGTCAGACTGTAGTGTTCCACAATCAGATACCACTTTTTCTTTCTATTCACCAAAAATTCTATAAAATTTTATATATATGTATAAACATAATTGTTATTTTAAAGCATAATTTCAGTCATAAGAGTATTAACATCATTAGAGAGACCTAAACATTCTTTAACCAGTACTAGTCCTGGCTTTACACAGTGCTCCCACCCACTTAGTGATCTGCTTACCTATCTACACAGGAAAGTGCTATGGCAGTTGTGGTAACAACATCGTCAAAGAAGCTGTACAAGTCACGCCAACTGTATGTGATCCAAACCATCTACATTTTCCACCAATCAAATCAGTAAAACGGCCAGTGGTAGAATCCTTAGTCTGAAGATAAAGTCTAAAGTTAAAATAAAAGGAATGATTAAAATGCTTCTATTATAATCACCAGCACCAAGCAATGGCAAAGACAGATCAACATAGGAGGAAAAAAAACAAGTGTACTTTTTTACTTTTACAAGATAGTTTGCTTGACAGTCACTAATTTTTCAATAAATAAGTCTGTAGAACATGAATGCAGTTGCTATGTATGTAGCTATGTTTTTTATATTATTAACAATTTATTATACTTTTATTTCTATCTTCCATATTCATAATACATGTGACACAGCCTGTTCTAAACAAGATGCAGTAGTAGTCTCTGTCTTTCTGAGTGTTGCTCATTTTTTAGACCCTTTCTTGACCTATCCCAATGCCAGAATATCCCCACTGGTAAGGAATATTTTGAACAAAAAGCAATTCAATTTAAAAATACTCAAAACAACATTTTGCAGGAAAAATTCAGATTCAGCAAAAATATTCCTCATAACCACCTGTTCCAATCAATATTTTCCAACAGAAGAAACTAAACAAACAGGTCTGTCTAAGCAGTCCTCTCTGTCATGAGAAGAAAGTAGAGTTGTATATTCCCCTCCTTTTTCATTTCACAGAATCACAGTCTCACTGTAAACTTTTCCCCCTGAGGTGTTGAAACCTGTCCTGGATATAGTGAAAAATCAGGATTCTACAAATGTAGGGACCTGAACCAAAAATGGACAATTTCACTATTTTGTGTATGGGAATATTGCACTATTTTATTTATCTTGCTTATAAATTTGGTTCATTGCCAGTTGAAGCTTTCTGCCTCCCCTTCTCCCACGCTTTCTGATTCCAGTTTTCATGGAACTTAAATGAGAGACTGAAAGACTGATTTCTTGATTAACTTATGCAAAACTCATATTCATCTTTCTGCATCCCTCATCTCCAGTTAGGAAAGGGAACAAAAGCAAATAAACATGTACTGTTCACTAAACCTAAAAACAAGTTATAGCTATCTGCAGCTGAACTGAGTATATCTCATTTACACTGTTATTGGGGTTCTCTTCCTCAACCAACACTCCTTTCCTCTTCGCTAATTTGTTTACCAGGAGCTGCCTGCCATTCCTGTATATTGGAGTGGCAAAGTCTCAGGGTCATTTTTATGCCACCCTATCAAAGGCTTTAGGTTAAAAAGCAGATTTTAGTCCTATGATACCTTCAGACAAGGTAATAAGGATCTTGTGCGGACCGAAACTCCCTCGTGAAGGAACATTTGTTCCCCTATGATCTTTCAAGAGTCTTGAGTAGTTTCATTCCTAATCTGTGCATCTCCATCGGTCCTTTGCAGGAGAAGACACAGTAGAACTTTGTCACTATACTAAGATATAAAGACTACCAACTGTATGAATTAACTAAGCTAGACCACTAAAAACGGAAAAAGTATTTTTTCTGCTGTAAATATAGCAGAAATATGGCTGGTTTATGCAAGCTTTTTTTTTGTATATATCTGCTATGGGTTATACATCTTCTTGTCACCATCTGACCACAATTAAGCTGGCATGTAGTAAACCTGGCCTGACTGGTGAAGTAATAATATTTCTCTAGCCAGAGGTAGTCCTGTACAATGATAAATGATGAAATTTGGCAACAGATTTCTAAATCAGCTTTTCCAAAATCATCTATAATTTTTTAATATGAAGCCTTTCCTCATTATTAAAGAAATGAGATAGAAATTCCCACCCATCAGACCTCACTGACTTTTGCACTTCTAATACAGGCTTAAGAGAAGACACAGATCCATTGCCTAAAGTAATCACTTTGAAACATATGTGCTCATAAATCATTCTAAGAATGGTTTTTCTTTCACTAAGGGAGCATGCAAATAGCAAACCTCTGCTTTTATGACAGCAGTTCCTGAAAAATACTAATTCATGTCAAGCAGGTACAGTCTAAAATGCACACCACATATTATCCTTTTATTTCAAGTGTCAATGACCATAAAAACGGACATTAATTTATGTTATTTTAAAATAGAGTCCTCTGAGAATACATAGAACAACTGCACTAGAATTACATTCCTTTTACCAAAAAGAATAAGAAAATATTGTTAGTAGTTGTGTGAACTTCTTTTAAAAACTTCCACTGGGAATTTGTAGATATATCCATCTGAAAAGCCGTGACTTATAGATATGTGAGTAGATATCCACACATATCTACTGTTCAATTTAGAGGTGATAGCAAAATGAAAATTATTAGGAGGGATAGAGATACCAAAAGCCTTTTATAGTGGTAGTTGTGAAGGAAGGCGGAAGACGAATACCATAAAAATTTCTCTGCCAAATTAGAGGTGGTTGCATTGGTAAGAAAGGATGCTCTACTGTATGTTCTCCTTCTATCCTATGCCTCTTCCCTTTCCTTCTCATCAAATCAGTCCATCACCACCACTCTTATCCACAATTACTTTCTACCTAATGCCACTCTAAAACCCTCATACTGAGCTATAGGACAGTTTGACTACAATAAGAGCTGTTTAAAATAAATATGCACAACAAGAGTTGTAGAGCAGCTGCAGCAAGCTTTTCTGTAGCCAAACCCTCTTCAAAAATTACTCTAACATTCAACTCTTCGGTTTCAAAATAGGCCAGCTTTAACTTCAAAATAGATCTCAAAAAATTTCAGAATCAGGATGCATATGCAGAACATGCTAAAGAAATCAAGGTGGTGGACAGTTGCCCTCAGTTACATAATTTTTTACTGCACAAGTGGACAAAGTGAGTTCACTTTCTGAACAAGATTTCCTAAAATTCCATTGACCAAAATCTTACTTCTTGAAAACTTTGAATAAACAAATCTATTAGTTTCATTTAAGACAACAAAACAACACCAGTTTACATCAGTTAAGGAGCTTGTACCACATTCTCCTTGTCGCTCTGCTAATCAGAAAAGAAAAGCTTTATTTCTAGAGAAACTCTACAAATACTTAAACTTGTAAAGAAAACTTAAGGCTAGATCATTATTAATAACAAAGTCCAACTGAGAAGTTGCTGCATTTAGAGTACAACCCGAGTCATGTTCTGAGTGGCAATGTCCCCTTCTTTTTTGCCGAAGCAAAGAAACTATGTCAGTTCTCTCTCTCTCTCTCTCTCTCACACACACACACACACACACACACAGAAAATCAGTGAGTACGCACAAGCATCCCCTAAAATTAACTTTCTCAGAGATCCATACTGGAAGTATCATAAAAGACTGAGAAGCTGAAATGCTTATGCAAGCAGAAAATCCTTAAAGTATGGAATGAGGTTTCAACAAATCCTATCAAATCAAGAAGGAAATGAGTCCTAGAAATGATGGCCCATGTCAAAGAACATCATGTATTTTATACTTCTCTATAGAATTGGGATGGTGTTAGTTGTGACATCAAAGTTGATCCCAAGGAAAGTTTGGAAAGTTTGGTACAGAAGCCCCGTACTGCCACATGATTCTCCAGCTCTGTTAAAATACTCCTCTAGAAGAGCCAGCCTCTGCAACAGCTGCTATGACTGCAGACACGTTCACTTCCCAGGGAGCGATAAAGGACTGTCTGCAGTGCCTGCTTACACCTCTTGCTCTTATTATACAAGAAAACCAAGAGAACACATGGAATTTCTTTATCACTGCCAGAGGTTTAATCCACATCAACAGAATACTGTAGTATATCAGTGCTGTAAGCATTTGGCAGACCTTGAAAATGGCAGCATAGAGAACCTAAAGCCAAATTCATCCTTTATCTATCTCCTTTGGCAGAAGTGGGCTCATTCTCAGAGATGGAACTGCCTTGAGCTTTCTATTTCTTTTAGAGAAGACATCAGTTCAATTAAACCAGTCTTGTGTTTCTGTTCTATCTGCCTCTCCATCTTTCTCGAGTCCTAAATTACCATTTGTTTTACAGTATATAGATCTAAGATCAACTGAATTTGTTTTTTTTTATTGTCATGGAAACACAGGCATAATATATGTTTGCATGTAAACATCTCCAAAATAATTTCTACACAACTGTCACATATAGATGACAGCAGTGCTTGGGGTGAACTTTACAGAGGACACAGCAATGCTTATTTTCTCTACCTCCTACTCCCCAGGCTCAGATCTAGCACAAATAAAATCATTGCAGTTTCTATAGCACTGGCATGCAAGATACTTACACTAGGGAGGCTTACTGCTGTGCATGTAACTGGACAGTCTGAGCTAAGATTGTCTTGTTATATATAGTTTTCCATGCTGTGGCACCAGCCATGTTACAGCATCCAAACGATTAACCCAGATTTACAGGACCTTCAGAGAAGGGATGATAATGGTACTCAAATAAATGTAAAAGAATGAAGCAGCCTAACACAGTACTTAGGAGATTTGTATGTATCCTTGTATGAAAAGCTCTAATGAGTGAGCACGTATGTCACACCTTCTGGCAGATTTTAATAATTCCCAGTTTGTTAAGTATCTCATCTTCTGGTTCAACCTTGCTGTCAAATCCCAGCAGCAATATTCTTAACAGTTTCCTAGTTGTTTTTAGTGCTTGACAGTCTTAGCAATTCCTTGCCACGGATGAGGACATCACTAGCCCGCAGTGGGAAATGGCAACCTCCTCAGCTGTGGCAGTTACAGCCAACATGTACCGTAAGTAGGACTGGCCCTAAATTGCCACATTTCAGCGCAGCATGGTAATCAAGAGCAATGACATCTGACACTAATACTCCCAGCTGCGAACTGCTCCAGCTGACACACGATTTTTTACACTTTTTCTGTTACAGGGGGAGTAACCTCAAGCACATGAGAAGGGATGAAAAGCTACAGAAGATAACCATTAGCTATCAGATACAGATATATCAGTCTACTCTAATGCAAGGCCAGAGCTCATAACTCAGGATCTACCTTCTTTGCTTAGGAAGGGGTGTTCTTCAGGTAAAAGGTTACAAGCTTTTTTTCTGTAATTAGGTATAGCGTGTGTATCCGAAGTTTTCATATCTAAGAACTGTATGTTATAAAGTACATTAACTTAGGAAGATCATCTTGATAAATATATAGCTATTTCATCAAGGATCTCAAAGAGATTTAAAAATATACTTGCAAGTTTCAGAATTAGGGTGTGTGCTCTTAAAGAATCACACAAAAGTAATTGGCAAAGGAAAAAATAAATAGAAGTTCAGACTTGTCATTTTTGTACATTATCTGGGGAAAATGAGAGGGTTTGGGCTTCCTTTTATAGTAAAGGAATTGTCTGATACCTAAAATTACTGAAAAAGACAGCATAGGCTTTCCAATCTTTTCTACACAGAACACATCAATTTTCTTCACATTTCATTTTGGACATTAGAAGAAATAAAAACAAGATATATTGTTTCCTGTCTTGTGTCTTTTCTTCACTTCATTTTAAGCCAAAATGCAGCACTTTGGTACAGGTCCGTGTATGTCACATTGGCCTGTCTACCCTATAGAAATTATGGTCTCTTAATGAGAAGTTTTCAGTTGATCAGTTTCCATGAAGAATTGTGACCAGTACTGAACAAACACAATCAAATTAATGTAGCAATTAACAGTGGTTAAAATCCTTAATTAGTTCTGGTTTCAGTCACTGATGAGCTTCTAATAATCTCGTATATATCTTCAGAAAGGTGCAACTAAAGAGAAGTAAATAGGCATTGACAAGCAAGACCAACAGAATCACTAAGCATTAACTAATCTAAATTTTTATCTAAGGACAACTTACTTAAGATTTTAACGCAGATTAAGTGTTAATAAGACTCTAATAACCCAGTTGTACATGCTAATATAAAGCCCATGAATATTTGATCTAGGAAACATTTGGACTATCAATGGCAGCTTTCTATCACTGTTACTTTTCTTTTCTTTTGAAATATTGCCTGGAAAGATTTTTCTTCTAATGATTGCAGCCTACATCCAGATTTTTGCAAGAGCTGGAGCTTAGCTTAGCTGAATGCAGTGGTCAATAGAACAGCAGTAAGGTCAATAGTAAGTTGCAAGATTTGAAAAGAGGAGAAATGGTGCTAACAGGCAGGCTATTTTAGGGTTGTGGTCTCTAAGCTGAGTCATATCTCTAAGCTGAGATATGAGAGATACATAACCAAAAGAGGTTTGGCATTTAGGGATATGTGGAAAGAGAAATTAGAGGAATTTGCGGTCTAGGGTAGGCTGACAAAAAAGTGGGGGCATAGGAGTATGAGAAAGAAGCTCCAGAATGAGAAAAAGAGTTACAATCAGTCCATTCTTACCTAATCCTGGTTTGGAGGTAGAGGCACAATGTTCTCTGCCTTGTTATATTTCAGTTACAGGGAATGTGCAGCCTTCAAAAACGTGTTTGTTCTTGTTCTGGTAATGAATCACAACCATGGCACAGCTACAGCCTCACAGAGGAGTATAACAAAAATTAACATGTGTTTCCTGAAGCACTTGAATCTTGTCAATATTTGCCATTATGGTAGTTACTAAAATAGGCTGAATTACTAACTAGCCAAAAGCTCTGCACTAAATGTGATTTGAGTTATTTAGTCCTAAGAGTAAGAATTCAAGTTACAAGCTGAGATTGCAGGTGAAGAGAGTCTGATTTTTGTAATGTTTTATATTGAGAGGTAGTTGGTCTTACTGGTAAAGTACGTTTGCTAAAGAGAAATGCTTCTTTCCTACTTTCCTGCTCCAAATGAAAGTATAAACCATCATCTGACAATTGGAGGCAATGACAAGCTGCTAAGAACTGGTAGTATTTCAATGTGAAAAATGTACACTAAAATTGAACACATTTCTGTGCACTGGTTCTTATATCGGAAAAAAATCAAACTGAAATTTCTGGACCAAACACTTCCTTTAGCTTCAGGACCATACAATTCCAAACAAAATATGTTTTTCAAAGTCCTCTATCTCAGATAAAGGCTCACTCAATAACTTTGAAACTGTGGAAAGATTTTTCTAAAAGAGAGTTAATATCGTACATTTAGACAAGACTTTTTCTGAGGAGTCAAAATCAGATTTCTAATAAACCATCAGTATTTCTCTAGTAGAGACACATCTATAAAGTAATAGAGGATATTAAACCCATTTAACAGAAAAGAAATGCAAGTAACAACAGAGACGTGAGTGATTTTGATTAATTCAGATGTCAGTAATCAGTAACTGAGATGTTAGGTGAGCATCCAACTCAACATGATTTCTGCAAGAAAGAAACTCAGCAAGATTTCTGCAATGACCTAATGAGAGAACCAGAAAGGAGAAAAGAGAGCAGAGACACCTGGAACATTGATTTGGCAATTAACTGCACGTTAGTTTTTTAAACAAACTGCTTATTGTGGCTGAAGAGCTACATCATCTTCAGTAATGCACTAGAGTGTAACTTACCATTCAAGGATGAAGAATTTTTATTCTCCTTCTAACACTGCAGCTTTGGAATATTTATTCCAAATCTTTTATCTCTTCTCTGATTTAAACTTACATAAGCTTCAAGATCTCTTTGATTTTCCCCTGGAATTAATGGAGAAGGACCCTAGAATAGACACCTTATTCAGAAATGAAATTAACAGTATTCAAAAAAGTAACATTAGCTAATTCACATGACTCTATTTTTTAGGACGTGGAAGGGCATGTCATATTCCCCAGTAAGCACCTGAAGCCGTAAGAGAAAAAAAAAAAGATGATATTTGTTAATGAAGTTGTGTACAAACTGTGGAAATCACTACTTTCTTTCTTGAAATAAGCTTTCTTTTACACTTACTTCAGCTTTATATATTTTTCTGTTCTACAGAAGAGTGGGTTTCAGACAAAGGTGCAGCTAACCATTAGCTACTACTGCAGAGGATAAAGGTTGGTCATTAGACTATTGTCCAGGGCATCCTGAAAAAAATCACTGAATGTAGCTTTGTTCTTGTCCACACTTGCTCTAAAATCACTGAAGTACCAGGCTGGCTGCAGCTGTGGTTGACAGCGATAGATAACATTATAGCATAGACAAGATGTGAAAGGGGCACCTTTTACATCCAAGGCCACCTGGAAATAGAAACTTTAAAAAGGAAACTTGTAACATACATATATACTGGCTCAATGATTTGCAACAAACATTGTTACTTGAAGAAGAGCATAACTCTATTGTGTTGTAAATACGATTAAATGCTTGTAGCTCAAGTGAATCACTTGTTAATGGGACTATTGTCCCATTATAAATTACTGTAAAGTAACATTATCACATGCATCATCAGAGATATTTTCTAACCACTCATCAGCATTAACTGTCATTGTGAAAAGACAGTTTCCTGTGTTTAGAAGCTACAGTCACAGATATATATAAAAGGCAGGAATTTCAGGCACCAATCAGTTCAGTTCAAGATGCTCATTGTGTATCCCCTTGTCTCTACAGTATTGTTGGAACTGAAATGGAAATTATGTTCTAAAAGATGAACCAGAAATATACAGAGCAGATGAAACCAATGATCCTTAATAGCTTGAATTATTGCATCAAAACACCATATGACATAGCTAGTTGTCCGACTGAAAAATTCCTGAAATTTTGAAGCCAAATGCTACTCAAATATTAGTAAAGAGGTAGAAATAGCTGTGGGTGGGTAGAGAACAAGGCAATTAGCAGAAAAGGCAATCTTGTGCTCATTTTTCATTCTGAAATAGAATAAGGAGAAGTGATAGGATGTTCAATGACAGGCATATAGACATAAGAAATGCCCTACCTGCATCACAGTGGTGGTCTGGCCTATTGAACTCAGTAACGTATACCAAAAGGAGCTATATTTTCCTAAATATAAATAAATTATTTGTTTAAAATTACTTATAAATTTATTTTTTAAACATAAATAATATGTTTAAAAGACAAAAAAGATCTCCGCTGAGACATCTCCCCTGAGATGCTATTCAGGAAAGCACAGAAGCCTAGCCACCCTCCGAGGTCCCTTCCCCTTGTACTCCCCTGGTGTCCAGAGTTGCTGGATTAAGGATCTTGGGAGGTGCATTACTTTCTAGTCCTTCTATATCTATTTATGGTCCCTGAATTTTTGTAATCCTTTTTTTAACCTGTCTGCCTCTACAATTCCTTCTGGCAACAAATTCCAGAATTTCACCACCTGCTGCTTAAAAATCACACTTTTTAAAAATTTGTTTCAAACTGATCTCCTACTAGTTTCACCTAATTCTAGTATAACAGTAAGTGGTGAGCAATGATTCTGCATGTCGCATCCACCACCTTCATGATTATGCAAAACTTCTTTTAAAAGAACAACAGCTTTGCAAAATATATGCTATTGCTTATGTAAAAATTAAGCTTGAACTGGGAATAGATAGTATTTGTAACTTTTCTGGACAAGATTTGTTAGTAGGGGACTTACTTAAGTTGCTTCAGGAAATGAGCTCAACTTCTATAAAAGGGCTCAACCTCAACAAAATATCATAACATCTAATATGTGCTCATACCTCTGCAAAAAAATTGCAATTCCCTATTAAAATACTAGCCCATGAGATGCACATAGCTTTGACCATTATATTTACCACAGCTCTATGTACAATTATTCTAAAGAAAAATGAAAAGTGGCATTCAATATTGTTTCCTTTAAACTATCAACACTCTATCAGGAATAAGAGAAGACTTTAAAAAGAGAGAGCTGTTTTTCATGTGGATTTCTCCAGGATATTATTTCCACAAAAGTATCAATAGCCTAGGAAGACTGGCATTCAGAAGGCTTTCAAAATGGACCCTTTACTTATCTTTTATCTCATGGATTTGATTTTGCCTTTTCCTACATTACGTCCCATCACATATCCACTTCTTTTTCTTCCTTGCTCTGAGAAAAAAGATGGGAGAAAGGAAAGTGATGAAGAACAAAAGAAGAGACTAAAGATTAAATCAGCTTATAAAATATACTTTTATATTCTTAATTTCTTGATAAAATGTCATTTTTAGTAAAGGCCATTTTGGAAGCTGGAAAGTCACTAAATAATTATCATTTATCCTCATGCCATCTCTAACAAAAATGCTACAGTCGTACTTTCTAACACTGTAGTTCTGAGAGTTTGTATTTTGCGACAAGCTGTACCTAAAGCAAAATTTCTATACAGCTGTAAATAAATTTTAAACCTAAAATAGATTTTAGTATTAGAGTAGCTATACATTATTTTCATATAAGTTCAGCTGTGACACATCTTAAGTTTTCAATGTGTTACCATTTCTGACTAGTGGAGTTAGCATACTACTGAGAAGGAGTTGCTGAGGATCTTTATCAACTGAACCTCAAGAAAATATGAGGTCAGTGGTACATTATAAGGCATAATTTTTCAGCAAGATTAAATTCTACTGTTGTAGACTCAGTTTAGGCTATAAAAGTATCACTGTAAACAGTGTTCTAGTTACTAAAATATATCATAGTGTGTGAGTGTTATAAAAGAGAACGTTAAACAGTGAGATCTGTATTTTTAATTAATTACTGTTTTCTGGTGACATTTCAGATGAAGTAAAGTTACTCTGTAGGTAAACGTGTGAAATAATTTTGCAAGAAAATCTGGATGACTAGAGGGACTGAGATGAAGTAGCAAGGAGGCAAGTTAAATTTACCTTGGATAATGGATGGACTTTAAACAAAGAAATTAATACAATAATTTATCTACATGGATAGCCTCAGAAAAAAGCAACAATAAGATTCATGTAGAATATTTTTTAAAGTTTAACTGTGTTTATTCTGAAGAGCTTAGCCAGAATTTCATAGTGTAAAGTTGAAGAGTGACTCCATCTAACCAGCTCTCATGCTTCAGTTTCAATAATGGTTATAGGTATTTCAAAATTTGCCAATATAGCTCTGTTTTCATACCAAACATAATGAAACACTAATTTCAGCTGAATCTCTGTTTGAAACTTCAAGTAAATACATTTGGAAAAATGCTGTCTTCTCAAGGATACTTTCATGAAAGCACTGTGTGTACTGGTCTAGACTTGCAATCTAAGACAATTTAGGCTATACTCTTACTAGAAAATTCAATAGTGCCATGGAACATTCTGAGGACCTGGAACATAATCATCTAATCTATAAAATTATTAGAATGATCCCTAGCACAGTTTTGACCCGGACCAAGCATCAGCCTCCCAGACAATTCCTGTACATAGTCCTAAATTCAGCAAAGGACAAGCAGTTACTGATGGGCAGTTCAGACACAGCCAGTGTGGTATGAAGAGTAGGCAAATGTAATACTATGGATGCAGGTTGTCCCATACCAGTTAGGCTCACTACCACTGAATGATCCTGTATATTTGCCATTATAATTTATTGTATAAACATAGCCATGATGGATCAGAATTTTAAATTACGTGATAATAATCATTAATTTCAACAAGAATTAGGAATCTGAGCATTCTTCTGAAAGCCCAACTTCAGAAGCATTTTGAAAATTTTATTCATAAGAGTCAGTATGGATAGCTCAGCTAAAACTTCACTGTAATGTGCAAAATCAGTCAGAATACAAACTAAATATTTCATTATATTCTTACACCTGTCTCTGCAGCATCATATACTGGACACTTAAAGAGACAGAATGCTGGAAAAAATGCCATTTTGATCGCAAATCAATACCTAAGTCTGCTCTGTATCACCTATTCAGTATAGCATTCATATTAGTCCCAAACTGGAACTCAAGTCTTCTACTCTTAACGTTTATATATAATTTGTTTGTATTGAAGCTTTTCTGCAAACTAGAAAAATACGTAAGGAAATGAAAAATTAGCAAGCAAATCTACTATACTTCTTACAGGTGTATACTGACCAGATTTTCACAGTTCCAGAAAAGCTAGTGCTGATCATTAAGGATGAACCAAAAGTTTCTAAAAGCTACAAAGCAGGTTGTTACACAAGAGACAATTCTGATAGACTAAAATAAACAATTGTGATATATGAGGTCCTGATTCTTTTGGAGCTGTTAGAATTTGGAACAGAAAGTAGAGTTCTTTTGTAAAATCTCTCCATATGTGTTTTTCTGGTAATCATGACACAATCTTTATTATTTCCTCAATAATCTGTGAGGATTGTTGTGTACTCATTTGACCATTTGGAGCATAAGTCTGTAAACTGCACATACCAATGGAGAGTTTTCTAACAAAAAGGAATATATATTTTTTAATGTTACTTTGGCAAACAAACACTCGTATTTGTCTGTAAAGCAAACTGGTAGAGAATAAGCAATTTAGAGCTGTGGCAGAATGTCAGGAATGACACTCTCCTTAATGCATCTCATTATCTCTAGGTGCTGAAGAACACAATGCCTAATATTATACACTCATCTCAGGCAATGAAGATTGAAAGCCTGAGCCTGCAATTCTTGAGGCAAAACTTTCACTCTCTGAAGGACTGTAGAGTCAAACCATATGTTTCACTGACATTTTCTTCCTTAGTTCTACCGCATTTTATTTTGCATATTATGTTAAATCAGTTCTTTATTTCCTGAATGCAGTTTTCCTGACTGCTCTCCAGCTACAGTTGTCCTTCTGTGACTAGAGGGTACTGTATTCAGCTGGGCTGAGACAAGGGCATTCTTTGAAAAAAAACTTTTAATTGTACTTTGGTTCCTTAAAGTGATGGAAGAAAAAAATTCAACAAACAAATCTGTATGATGGACTGTATGACAGGCAGAGATAAAGCAAAGCTTCTAGTTATCAAAAAGTAAAGTATGAAGCCCTGGTGTTTAAGAGAACAGAGCCAAAATTTGCTGCGTATAGGCTGTAAGGCAAATACCATAGTGTATATGACAGCTCCATTTGCACTTACTGCTTGCAAAAGATTGATGACAAGTGCTTTATGAAAGAAAGAAAAATTGCACTGATATGTGCACAGTATATCCACACATCTCCTCATAAATGTTTAACTGAGGCTGCATGTCCACAGACATTTCTCTCAGCAACAGTATAAGTTTTAGTAGTTGCTGTGCACTCTGGTCCTCTCTCTGCCTTGTGTTTGTTTCCACATCTGTGCTGCTCCCTTGGTCTTGCTTGGTGATCAGTCTGACGCAACCAGCTTGAGACGCAAGAAGAGCAAACCGGTAACATGTCCAAGAGGTGGTAAACCCCTGCCACAGAAATGAATGCTTTCCTTACAGTAAAACTGACAATCATAAACAGAAATTACAGATAAAATTACAAGAAAATTGAACAGATAATTTTATAGATGTACAAACCATCAATATTCTTTCCTAATCACTTTATTCAAAATATTTTGTTGTTACTGAATTTGAATAAATGATAGCCACATCCCTACAACCCCACCAAAATATGGGTTGAAAAAATTTGTTTAAAGGTTATCTACCATAACTTTGTCATAGATGAAGCTCGATAAAGCGTTTTCTGCTAAATCACTTCTTACAGGCCCATCAAAGAGTTGCAAATACAAATCATTCCTGATAGACAATTTTCAGAGCCAGAGCAATTATTATGTGCCTGTAAATTTGTGTGCCATAAGTGACAGAGAATCATGAAGAATATATAAAAATACAAAATTTCCACAATCCAATCATCTGCTCAGCAGTGCTAAGAGTAAATAGCAATTTAGGCATCACTGCTAAGCAAGAGAAACTGCACACCACTTGATTTCCAGGCTTCTCCTGAGAGCAGAGGCACTTAGTGTTATCTCAGTCAAGAGCAACAATAAAGCCTGTCAGATGCAGAAACAGCCATTGGACG